ATATAACTATAAACTATGATAAAAGTTCATCAGCATGCATTGAATAATCCCATGTTGTAGCGCAAAAAAAAAAATATATTGCGACCAAATCATGCTCGTGCAACCAGCTGAGAAAGTTAGTTGCAAAAGAGCGACCAGTGGGAAGAATGAGTCTAGAGCCCTGATATGCATTTTACAGAGGCAAGAGGAAAAGAAAAAATACCATCTACACTTTTCTAAAGACAGTAAGTTCCCTTCAGACATACATTCATATAAACTCCTACCCCTAATTGAATCGCGATTTGTTTAGCATCTTAACCGATTTGAATCGTCACATATTTAAATCGATTTTCAACCGACTCGCGATTAATCGGTACATCCCTAGAGTTTTGTGGGCACAGGTGCACCGCAACCTCTCTCTCCACCTGGGGAATGTCAACGTACACCCTAGACGCCCCGCCTTCAAAAAGGGGCCGTCCATGACTTCGTCAGCTCCTCATGCACCTCCGGGAAAAAAGACACCGGTGCAATACTCGGGAGGAGTGAGTGGTCCACTGGGATGTGCCCGGCTGAAAAGCTCTCATTGTGACCCTCAGACCCTTGTGTGCAAAGAAGATGAGTGAAGGACTTACGGGTTTGAAACGACATGAGGGTGAGTAATTTTTGGGTGAACTAACCCTTTAAGTAAAAAACATATAGGTAAATATATGGTATTATACTGGTACATCAATAAACATGAATGAATAATATTTTGTTCATATAGTAAAAAACTAATAGATATTAGTTATAAAAATAAAAAATACATTATAATATAAATATATAAATATATAAATAGCCTAATATAAAAATTGTTAACTAAACAGCTTTATTTGAGGTTTATGCAACTTACACAATAATACATATTTTTTTCACAAACCTTATTTACTTGTTAGCAATCCACCTACATGCATGCTGTTGTACATAAATCTAACAACAAGAACACACAAAAGCACATGCCAAAACAAAAGATGGCTGAAATGCAAGTTATTTCTAGTATGGAATCTGTAGCATAAGCAAAAAACACAGTCAAGCATTTGAATTTCTCATCAAAATTAGGGTTGGGTATCGTTTGGGTTTTTTACGATACCGGTGCCAAATCGATACTTTTAAAACGGTACCGGTGCCTAAACCGATACTTTAAAAAAATAAATAAATAAATAAATACCCAAAATAGGATGGATTGGCCATTATTGAGCGCTATAAACATATTTAATGTCTGTTTCATTCATACTGGACGCCAGAGGGTGCCCTCGCGCAGAAACTCCACATGTGCATCACAGAAGGAATAGGACTCAGGCATAGTAGCTGATGTCAAACCATATGTGACACTTCTTGACACACTATATTTGAGTATATGCAAAGGTTGTGCTGAGAAGATTAATAATTTTGTGTAAAAAAATACCAAAATGTAACTATGGAATATTATTCTTTTATGCTGCTTTTTGTCATTTTTGAAGCTTGACAGCTCAGACAGTCCCTATTCACTTTCATAATATGGAAAAGAGCTTTGCATTGCTATCGCTGTAACTGAGTAAACAGAAGATATAAACGTTTTGAATGATAAAACAAAGACAATAAACACTCAACTGCGACAATGTATAGTTTATCTGTGTTATTCAAGCCATCTTTGGTATTTTCATCATAATTAAGTATATTTACAATCCATTGCTAATCGACATAGCCTTTTTACCATATGCTTTTTACAGTATAGAAC